CCCGGGGACTCCCAAAAACCCTCCAGCCCGCACCTTCTCGAGGCAGAGCTTCTTGAGCTCGCGGATCTTGGCGACCTGGCTCTCGATGAAGGACTGGCCGCCAAAGCCGGGGTTGACGCTCATGATGAGCACCAGGTCCACCTGGTCCAGCACGTACTCGATGGTGGACAGAGGGGTGCCGGGGTTGAGCACCACGCCCGCCTTCACACCCAGGTCCTTGATCTGGGGGCGGGGGGCGTTGGTGTGTTGGGAAGAGGTGGTGGGGCGAGGTTGGGCGGCAGGACGTGTGTGTGTGGGTGCATGTGTGTGTGTGTGTGTGTGTGTGTGTGTTGTGGAGTGGGGTGATGTGCATGGACGCGCTGGCGATGCATATGGACCGGCAGAGGTGGTCGTCTGCTTGGCTGCTTGAGGCGGACCTGGCGAGTCATCCGGGCGGGTAGGCAGCGGTGTCAGCCCCTGAAGACCTCCCTTCCGCCGTGCAGGGTCCCGCCCTCGACGCCCCGCCCTCGACGCCCCAACGGCCACCCGACCCTGTACCCGCTCTGCGTCTGCGACTGCGACTGCGCCCGTGCGAGCGCCCGCGCCGCGGCCGCCGCGCGCGTACGCACCTGGTTGACCACCCTGTGGAGGTGGATGGTGGACGACTGCTCCGCGTGCACCGAGATGATGTCAGCGCCCGCCTTGGCAAAGTCCGCCACGCGCAGCTCCGGCTCCACAATCATCTGGCCGCGGCCACGCAGACATTGGGCAGGGCAGAGGAGGGCAAGGGGTGTCATGCTGGGGGGCAGGCGGTGTTTATTCGCCAGGGCCAATCTGGCGGCAGTACCGTCCGGCTGCAGCTCAGCGTGGGCCACACAGCCTGCACCACACGACCTGCCCGGGATGACGTGGCGCGCCTAACCCCAGCCCGCCATTGTCAAGCGCTGAAGCCCAGGCAGGGCCCTCGTAGTTCAGCCCTCTTGCCCCGGGCCGCATGTCGCCCTCCAGCTGGCACGCGGGCAGGGGTGGGGGCGCCTCACCAGGTGGCAGTCCAGGACCTTGTCGGTCACGGGGCGCAGCGCCTCCACGATGAGGGGGCCGATGGTGATGTTGGGCACAAAGCGGCCGTCCATCACGTCGATGTGCACCCACTCACAGCCGGCCTGGTCAATGGCGCGGACCTGCGCGCGGTTGTCGGGCAAACACAGCTGAGGCAGGGTTGCCGCTCGGCCCTGCGTGCCACCTCCGGGTCATCTGTTGACTAGGCCACCGACAGTCGGGCGCCGAACCCTCCTGCATGGAGCCGATCTGTGCTGTCCTGCTCAGCGAAGTGCCTTCTTGTCCCATATGCTAGTAAGGAGGCAGCTGGGGGTGCTGATAGCTGGAAAAGGGCTCTCGGGAACAGCGTTTGCACACCCTGTACACCGCGAGGCCTTCTCAGGTGTTTCATATCAGCTGTGGGGATGTGTAAGTCACAATGGCCGGCCCTCCACAGGCTGAGGTACGCTCCCGCAGTGGATACTTGCCCACGCAAGCTCCTCAAGCACACTTCACAGCCAAACGCCTCGCACCTCATCTCCCAGCTTCGCGAAGTCCGCTGAGAGGATCGAGGGTGACACAATGATGTCGTTCTTGCTGTAGCGATCCACCCTGCATGGCGGACACAAGAGAAAGGTGCCCCATGCACGATTGAGCAGAGGGGAAGGGAGGCATCGATAACGGGACTGAGGGCGGTTCCTACAGGTTGAATTGCGCCCCTGTTCTCCACAAAGCACACCTCGAGGTCGCCTGGACGCGCACAGCCGTCCTCCGCGATGCGGCGACCGGCCTGGCGCCAGAGGCGAGCTTGGAGGTGGAAGCGAGGAGGGCCATTGTGGATGTTTCGACTCTGACACAATTGGGAAGAGTGCCTACTCAGGGTGGTGCCGTGTGCTTGTCCTGTTTCGGCAGAGCTCCCGACGTCTTGGCTTCGCCTGTGTGCAGGCCAATTTGAGCTCAGAGCTCATTATATACTGCATACAAAGTGGATCACTTGGTCTTAGCTGGCTCGCCGCCGGGCAACGAGCCAAAAGGTCGAGGCCCCAACCCTCGTGCAGCATCCACACTTGCTGCATTCGACACACCCACTCGCAGCTCGCCACCAGCGCGCGCGCGATTCTAGCTCGCGATACACAAGAGACGCAGTTGCAACAACGCCCACCGCCATGCTGGGCTTCCAGGCACCGACCGCTGTGCAGCGGCCCCACGCGCTGTGTGCGGCCGGCAGCTGTGGCCCTCGGACGCCGCTGCCGGCAGCATTTGTTGGGTGCGCTGTCGCGATGAATGACGCATGTGGACAGGCAGCGCAGTGGCCGATGCGGGTTGCCCGGCTGCGGCCTCAGCCATGCGGCAAGACACAGAAACGGGTGAAGGGCCGCTCTCTCTTTGTGCCAGTCCCTCGCCCTGCGGCAGGCTGCGCATGTGGCTGCACATAACCCAAATGAAACCGTGCCTCCCGCAGGCAGCGGCGGATGAAATTTCAGCAGTGGCGGGGCCGCCTGCTCAAGGCTGCTCAGGTGCGCGTGCGCGCGTGGCACGCTGAGCAGAATGCGCGCCGGGCCCTGTGCGCAGTGCGTGTGCACCCTCCCAGCAAAATTTGCGGGTCCTGCCAACACCGCTGCTCTGGCGCTGACCTCAGCAGCTGGCTGCAGCATTTCCACTGCACCCGCGCCGGCTGCGTCGGGCCCGCACCTCCGTGTCGCCGCCTGCAGCAGACAACGGCCCGCACGCGACGCGCGCGGCCGCCTCGCCGCCCCGCGCCCCCGGCAGGTTGAGACTATCACCGAGGCGCCGGCCGCCGCGCCGTCGGCGCCAGCGGCTGGCGGCGGCGAGGGGCAGGACGGCGAGGCGCCCGTTGCGCCGGGCGTCGTGATCGGCGATGACAACCTCGGGGACAAGACCAAGGCGGGCTCCTCAGGAATATCATCCGGCCTGCGCATGGAGGGGGTGAGCAGCAGCGCTGGGCCGCTGCGGCAGTCAGCCCGGGCGCAGCTTGGGGCGGGGCCGCGGACGGCAGCCGTTGCAGCTGTGCTGCGAGGGCGGGTGCCGTCGCGGTGCCTTCGGCACTATCTGGCGGCCGGGGTTTTGCGGATTGTGAGTCTGGGTGAGCACCCACCAGGGCCGCGCCCGCTGCTGGCTTGGCGCGCACAGCCGCGGCAGCAGCCGCAGCAGAAGCTCGGCTGAGGCCGCGTGCCGCGCCGCTCCCGCACCCAGCTGCCGCGCCAACGCCCAACCCCGCGCTTGCGCCGCCGCCGCGCCTGCAGGTGGCCATGACTTTCAAAAACCAGCAGGTGCTCAAGGACTGCACCTGGGAGGTCAAGAAGGGCGAGCGCGTCGGACTCGTGGGTGAGCTAGTCACAGCCGACCGGCTCCCCCACACGCTCGTGCGCCTGCCCCCGGCCCACTGGCGGCCTCCCCTCAGCCCCCACTTCACTCGCGAGCAGCCGGAGTGCAGCCGGCCAGCGGCCCGACGGCCGCCCCCGTCCGCATCTTTGGGAGCGCCCCGACCGCCGATGCCGCCGCGCACGCGTGTTCTCGGAGGCCCCGCAAGCGTGCAAGCATCCCTTCGTTTCCGGGCCGGTCCCCGCAGGCGTCAACGGCGCGGGCAAGACGACTCAGCTCCAGATCATTATGGGCAAGCTGATCCCGGACACGGGCGAGGTGGTCAAAGCCAAGCGCAACATGAAGATCGCGTACCTGGCGCAGGAGTTTGACGTGCAGCCGGGGCGCACCGTGCGGGAGGAGTTTTACAGCGTCTACGACAAGCAGCTGCAGGTGCGTGTGTGGGCGCGCGCGCGCGTGTGTGTGTGTGTGTGGGTGGGTGTGCGCTTGCTGCGGCTTGGGTGGGCCCAGGCTGTGCCGGCCGGTCGGTCGTGTCTGGTTCCCATCCGCAGCCCTGGCCCCGCCGGGGCGCGGCAAGCCGCAGTCGGTCTGGCGGGGAGCCTGGCGGCAGCGGGTCGTCTGGCGGGGCCCGGGGGCTCGCAAACGCCGCCGTTGTAAGCCCGTGCGGCGCCCCGTCACTGCGCCGTACCTGCGCCCCCTGCTCTCCCCCCTAAAAACAAAGGTTGTGCGGGAGCAGGAGGAGATCAGCAAGCAGCTGGAGTCTGTCGGCGAAGACATGGACGCCATGCAGTCGCTGCTTGACCGCCTGGAGAAGCTCAACGCGGCCGCCATCGATCTGGACGTGAACCTGCTGGACAAGAAGATCGACCAGATGATGCCGGAGCTGGGTTTCTCGCCGGCGGACAACGACAGGCTGGTGGCGAGCTTCAGCGGCGGCTGGCAGATGAGGATGTGCCTCGGGAAGATGCTGCTGCAGGTGGGGGTTCTGGGG